GATTGTTCACCGATTACAATGATTTACTAGGAATCGAAAGATTGCAAAGCGAAACAATGATTACGGAACTTACGAATCCTTGAATCCCAAACGTCCGCCAAACCAACTTGCAAGAGGCAAACCTTTTCCTCAGAATCAAATATTTAACTTTCTCTCGGGACTAATAGTATTGAATATCATTAATAACCATTCGGATTTCCATGTGGCTGATCGGTAGCTTAAATTCTCTAGATGTTTGTAAAAATGAATTGCATATCCTCCTTACAAGACTAACTTCCATTTTCGACTCGAGCTTAACACGTTAAACTAGTTTCAAAGGCTATTAAAGAAACTCTGTCACTCTAATTTTTACTTGTGCTAATAATGTTTAAATATTCTAGAGAAGCAGGGTTTGAGATTTGGTGAAGTTTATTTCAGCTGTCTTTAGAGTGAGAATGCTGAAGAATACGCAAAGGCTCTTGAAATTTCCAACTAGGGACGAAACACTCTTTATTTTATTCGAATACTGAAAAATATTCTAAATTCAATACCTACATTGCTCATTTGTCACTAACGAAAATCAACCTTTCGTATCCTGTGATTCTCCCATTATTAAATTACGTAATTATTAATCGTTGTTTTATTCTAAACAACAAAACATTTCTTAACTTAATTGTAATTTAACTTTTTTGATCTCGTTTCACTTTTAAATCGTTATGTGCATAATATTTTATTTGAAGGTTGTGAAACCAATTTTGAAATTTCCTTTACAATTGTATTTTACAGAAAAGTCTTTCTAAGCTACACATACAGTTATTCTTTGAATATTATTATTTTTTATCAGTAAGAGACTAAAAAACTTTAGATTCGAGATAATCGAATGATTCGACCGTACATCTTGAGGCTGATTCGAAGAATTTTAGGATTAGTTCCATATCTACTCAAAATTTAATAGTTCTGTCTATTTTCAACTTTGTGTTTTTGAGTAGTATTCGTTTTCAGGGAATTGCTCACATCAAGTGAAGTTATCGAGCGTGTCGTACAAGCTGGCAAAGATCGCGTCCGCGTTTCCTACCCTGTGAGGCGAAGCGTCAAACGCAAACAAGCGCTACGGGGAGGGGGGCGGAGGGGGGGGCTCGCGTTCGGCCGCTTGCTTTGCACGCGCTGTTTGACAAGAAGCTGCTTCGCGCGCGCCTCCGACGCAGCGACACGCCGCGCCTCCTCACGAAAATGCCTGCCCCCCCCCCCCCCGCATGCGTACGAGACTTCCAAAGGGCTTCAGACAATTTTGTCTATATCTACCCATCAATCGATCAATCTACCTATTTATCTAGTATGTGTGGGTGTACTTCGATACAATCTATTTGTGAGTCGTTTTCAATTCCATTAACTATTGTTAAAAAATATTATATTCTAAACTTCGACCCCCGAGTTTAAGGTTTCTGATGATTTATTTCGATCAGGCTACTGAGCTACATACTCCGTGCCATATTGATGGGATGTAGGGTAATAATTCACTGAACAATACGTATACATTTGTGTGTCTAAATGAATTTGTAAAAAAATGTGTATATGATAAGAACCAAAAAATGCTGAAATCCATTCCCGTCACGTACGGATACTTTGTTAAAAACGTACCCAGTCACGACAAATTGTGTTCATACATATTCTTAATAAACAGAAAGGGTTATCTCGACTTGCTTGTATAGTAGTTTGAAATTACATGCTTCCCCTCGGGCATTGAAATTTCCGACTTAAATTTAAAGATTGTTCAACTCGCGTTTTAATCCTTTTCGTAAACTGTATGTCAGATAATTCACGTGAGATAAATACATTCATTTTCTCCTGTATATTTATCCCTAAATGCCTACATTTCCTGATAGCATTGTGTGGCAACTTCCTCTCAAATATTTCGAACATTTGCGCCCAACTAGACGTTTAATTCAGTGAAGCTGTTTTACTATTCGCACTAATGAATCACACACAAATGTTGTAATTATATATACTCACAGTCTCAACTTTGAATGTTCCCATAAGCATACCATGAGGGTTTAAAATGCAATAACACGTCTGAGAACAACGGCGAACGGTAAAGGGGTAAAGAATGCGTCGAAAGTAAAGATTCCTTTTGTGCCAGCAGTTTTCTTCTCAGAAGAAATTCCTTCAACTGTGAGTCAATATTTCTGAAGCACCCTATAGAAAGAGCGTTGCCTGGTGCAGACGCCGAAGGTCCAAGTGCGCATGCGCACACGTGAGCAGCGGTGCTGTCACTTCACGAACGCCTTTGTCACTTGGTTAGTTTGTGCGGAGGAAGGGCAGTTTTCAAATGATTTTGTTGGCAAACTAATGGCACGTCCAAAAACTAAGACAAATAGGGGACTGAAACTAGTCTGAGAAAGTGTTTGTTTCTATAATTTTCTTCGCTTATCTCGACACTGTTGATTTTTTGTAAATTCACGGACTACGATGAAATGACACTGAGCAGAGGAGTCCTTGGAGTGGCAGCTCCAGGTATTATTTAGAACTGATCCGCTTTATGAAATTAAAGAAAATTTGTTTTTGAATTCTAAATACTGATTTGACGACGTTTTACTTGATATTATTAATATTTTTAAAAAATCAACTTTACTAATAAGAATACCTTTACAACCGTTTAAAACATAATTATACAAATGCTTAAAAATGCGATGATTACTTGCTTCAAAAGCTTCCTAATCTTTAAAAAAATGAACCATTTAATGTTTCAGGCCAATTGTTTCAATTAAAACTCGGAACCAACGCATAGAGCAGTAGTTCTGAAATCTTGTAAATAGTGGACCTCTCACTCACGTGTCGTGACTAATGGTATTTCAATGAAGAGTCCCTACAAGAAATGTTTTAAATATTATCTAGAAAAATTATTAAGACTGTTTTCACAGTATTGAATAAGTGATTTTAAATTTACACATTAAATTATTATCCTGAAGAAATCACGATATTTTTAATCAACTGGTTAATTTCTTTTGCAAATCCTCCTAAGGAGAAGTTCACATACCCTTACAGACACACCGGCGGGATACACGTACCAGTATGAGAACCACCTATATCGAATTTTGAAAATACGTTTTGTAATAAATTTTGAAATGTAAATAGCATAAAAATAAATACGCAAAGTGCACACCACTTTTGAATACAAACGGTGTATAACAGCAGGACTAGCCATAAGTTGCGAAGTATTAGATCCTAGACTTTGAGCCCCGACTCCGGGGGATTGTCGACTCTTTTTGCATAGCTGGGTCAAATTCAACCGCTCTCTAGAACCGAATTCCAGTGGCTAACTGCTCTGATCGGTCGTTTTCTGTGATTTCTCTGATCAACACCAGAGGAATGCCTCTCTTTCCTCATCCGTGTCTCTTCCTTTATACACATATGCACTCCAGTGCCACACATGGCGCAAAACCAGAAGAGGCCTGTGTCGGCTAGGGCGATATCGCGTTGGGGGACATACCTGGAAGTAGATGTCCCGGAAGCCGGCCACATTCCAGTAGGGACGAATACCACCACATCCTATGATGTAACACACACTACACTTAAGGGCCTAATGACCATAGCAGTGCACGCGCCCGGAATTCAAAGAATCCCTCCATCAATCATT